ATTTTTAAGTAATCTCTACCTACACACAGTGTAGGTCTTGAACTCATAACCTCGACATCAAGAGTTGCGTGCATCACCAACTGAGCCAGCCAGGTGCTCCCACTATGAACTTCTTGGTGCATATCCTAAGAGGGATAAATACATAGAAATGGAATTATTGGCTTAAAAAGTGCAAACATTTTAAAGGTTTTGATATGTCTTGCCAAATTGCTTTTTTAAAAGGTTGAATTAATGTTTACTTGCAACAAAAATATACAAAGGGGCTTGGTTTTGCCTCTTAGGTGTTTTCACTTACAAATATTTACACTTATTTATGATTTGCCATTGTTTTATTTTAACAGCTCTTTATATGTGCTTAACACTATGTACTTTTTTTCTATAAATTGGACATCCTTTGCATTTTTGTTGATTAGGTTTTCATGTTGATTTCTTACCAAGTTTGTTAGTCCTTTGACTCAAATTTGTGACAGAAGTGTGCAGGTACATAGCTTGTATTTATTTTGGTTATATTCTCATAATTTTCTTTATAATTGATTCTATTGCCTCTAAGCTTAAAAAGTCATTCCTCACCTATGTAATCACTGGAAAACAAAACATGAAGCAGACCCATGTACTAATATAAAAGGATGCCTAAGTTATACTATCAAGATAAAAAGTAGTGTCCTGCAAAACAGTGTTTAATTATGATCCCATTTCTCTCCATCTTTCTCTCCCTCTATTTTTCTTTAAAGATTTTTTTTAAGGGGGCACCTGGGTGGCTCAGCTGGTCGAGTGTCCGACTTCAGCTCAGGTCATGATTTCCTGGTTAGTGAGTTCAAGCCCCACATCAGGCTCTCTGCTGTCAGCACAGAGCCTGCCTCTCTTTCTGCCCCTCCCCCGTGCGCGTGTGTGCGCACATGCTCTCTCAAAAATAAATGAAAACATTTTTTAAAAAGGCAAAAACACCACAAATACTAGGAGTCCAGGAGAAAGACTGTTGTGTCCTCCCTCTGCTCTCAAATGGTCACTTAGTCAATTCATGGAAGCTCTTACGGGGGCACTTTTATTCAGCCAGTGCCAGGTGCTGGATTAGAGAGGCAAACATGAGTTCTTCCCCCATGGAACTTACAGGGTGCATGTATACAAGAGGGGAAATATCAGATATTGAATTATAAATTGAAATATTCAGTGTTGTGAAGAAGTGCAGAATGCTGTTCAGTATCCCTGTGCAGTATCACTTAACAGTACCCTCTACTGTCATTTTCTCCCTACTGCCTTTCTGTCTCCCTTTTTTCTGTGTCTCTCTCCCTTTTTCTATTTTTCTTTCCTCTTCTTGTTCTCTGTCTTTTCTTTCCCTCTCTTCCTCTCTTCCTCTCTCCCAGTTCTCCGAAGACACTATGTTTCAATTATTTTTGCCTCATTCTGAGTCTAGTGCTCTGCTTGATACATTGACAATCAATGGTGGCTGCTGAATGAATGAATCCCAGGAGTCTTAAAGGGTGGACTCCTCCAGGACAATCTGTAGATTACCATTGTATTTCTATTTATTAAAAAAAAATAAATCTAGAGAATCTAGGAACTATAGAATATATAAAGTATACAAAATAACAATAGAACACAGCTGAGATAAACTTGTAGACTGTTTAAGCGGGTGTTAGGTTAATTGAAATTCTAAGGATAGTTTCTGTAAGGGAAAATCCTACCTAACTCACCTTTAGGATGCTTAAGCGAGTTATTTCAGTAAGAGTACTTTGGGAGAAATCAGTAGATGTAATTTACTTTGCTTTTTTGCAGATGTTTTTTGTTTTTAAGTAGGCTTCCCGCCCAGTGCGGAGCCCAACAGAGGGCTTGAACTCATGACCTTGAGATCAAGACCTGAGCTGAGATCAAGAGTCAGATACTTAACCAAGTGAGCCACCCAGGCACCCCTTTCACAAACTTGATAAAGGTTCGAATCCAAGGTCCACCCTGTGACTGGATATATGGCTGATGTGTCAAAGGAAGAGTAGAGTGTGTAAGAGAAAAAGTGGCAAGAAAAGAGGCAGAAGTAACATAAGGACTAAATCAGGTAGACCTTGTAGGCCAGACAGGACGTGAAATTTTATTGGGTTGCCTTTGGAAGGAAAATTTTGAAAATGTCATCTGATTGACAGCTATAAAGGATCTGGTTGTTGTGCCTGTGAGACTAGACTGTAGTAGGATAAGAATGGAAGCACCAATAAATAAACGTTGAAAAAAAAAATTTAAAAAAAAAAAGAATGGAAGCACCAAGACCAAGTTGGAAGGCTGTTTCAGTAGGCAGTAGTGGCCTGGACTACAATAGCAGTAATAGGGATGAGAAGTGTTTAATCCAGATTAAATATTGAAGGTAGAGGGAATAAGTTTATTGATGATTGGCTGTGTGGTGTGAGAGAGTCAAGGGTGACAAACATTTTTGGTCGGAGCCAGTGAATGAATGCAATTCATACTGGTCTGCCTGCCTTATAGTCTATTCAGGGAGGGGGTGTTTCATGGAGGTTGTATTTGAAGGGCAGGGACATTAGAAGGCTACTGCAATCATTCTGGAAAGATGAAAGGGGCCTGAACCCGAGCAGAGGCTATAAGTATGGAGAGGCATTCAAAGGGCACAGACTTGAGAGATCCTTAGAAGTTAAAATCACCATTTAGAAAACAGTTTAGGGTTTTTTACTAAAATTAAAGATAGCTGAATATTTACCCTAGAGCAGGGGGTAAATATTTTTTACCTGTTTTTGGATAGCCCTAGAGCTCAGCATGTTTCTTACATATTTAAAGGATTAAAAAAGGGGGTGGGGTGGGATATGTAACAGACCATTTTTGGCCCCCAAAACTTAAAATATTTACTATCTGGCCCTTTACAGTGTAAGTTTCCCAGCCCGTGCTTTAGTTCAGTGGTTTTTATTTTTATTTATTTATTTTTTTAAAGTATACAGTCTATTAGCTTTTTTTTTTAATGTTTATTTATTTTGAAAGACAGAGAATGAGCAGGGGAAGAGCAGAGAGAAAGGCACACAATCCGAAACAGGCTTCAGGCTCCGAGCTGTCAGCACAGAGCCCGACGCAGGGCTCGAACTCCCAAACCGTGAGATCATGACCTGAGCCGAAGCCGGACGCCCAGCCGACTGAGCCACCCACGCGTCCCAGTTCAGTGGTTTTTAAAGTGTGGTTACTACACAGCAACAGCATCACCTGGGAGCTTGTTAGAAATGTAAATTCTCAGGCCTCAACACAAACTTGTTGAATCAAAAATCCTGGGCTTGGGGGCTCAGCAATCTTTGTTTTAACAAGCTCACCAGGTGATTCTGATGTATGTTAATTTTTGAGAACCATTCCCCTAGGGAAACCTTTGTACCTGTGCATCAGGATACATTATCTTGAAGAGTAATAGTGGTTATGCATAAGAACCCCAAACTGGAAACAATCGAAATGTCAATCAGCAGTACAGGAGATAAGTGTAAATCATGGCAGTTAATACAGTGAGCGTATTCCATAGCTTGTGATTAAGGGCTTGGAGTGTGATGGCAGACTGTGTTTGAATCCCAGCTCCAACAGTAGCTGTGTGACCTTAATTTGATCTCTCTAAACTTCAGCTTCCTCATTTGTAAAATGGGCATAAAAATAATAACTACTCTATAGGGTTATTGTTACGCCTAAACAATTACAAAAAGGAATTTGAAGAGTGCTTGGTACAGAAGTATTAGATTTAAAGGGTAATCTGCATGTAATATATTATGCTTTAAAGGAACAACAAAAAAAGTAAAAGTTCATTTCACAAAAGTTACAATCTGCTCAAATATTTTTCATGTAACAAAATGATTAGGCAAACTAAGGTAAAAACAATGTAGTTTTTGGAGATTCAGATGTTGGCACTGCCTCCGGAAACCTCAGTTTGCACATGTGGAAAATACTTTAAAATTGCTCTTAAAGGATTAAGAAAACTAATGAAAGGTCTATGCCCGCTTACGTTTGGTACATGGGCGCGTATTAAATGTATTCTTTCCTTTTCTATTTGCGATTTCATTTCTTTTGCCATTTCCTCAGCTCTTCCTTCCAAAATTCTTCTGCTGTCTCCATAGTCTTTGAGAAACATCGCCAGAACCAAGGTGCAAAGTGGCTTCCTTGACTATAAGGAGATTTGGCTTTCCCCATGAATCAAGGTCACTAGAGTCAGTGTCTAGTGTTGTCCCAGCTACGCCCTGGGGCCAAGTCTGGGCCTAGATCTAGGACAGGACTGTAATCCTGCTATCTCCTGAGATTTCAGCCTTTTTAGAGGCCTTAGTATGTAACACCCTTATTATGTATTTAGCAACACCTAAATACATAACAGGCACACAAAGAAATAGATTATTTTCCACTCTGTGCAGGCCACAGCATATTTTTCTATATCCCTGGGCCTAACACCTAGTAGGCCCCAGAACGTTATTTTGCTTTGGGTTGTTAGGCTGAATTTGACCTTCTCGGTGGAGTTTTAAATCTCCATTTCCTAGGATGGGTTAATAATGTAGGTGAATTTAGGGTACAAATAGCTGAAACCACTGGCTGCATTTTATGTTTGTCTAGAGCAGCAACCTGCAGACACCTAGTTAAAAGAGAAAATTACTAAATCCCTTCTCTTTTAACATTAATAATCAAAAGGGACTAGAAATATCGGTCTCCAAAAAACGGCGCAAAAGACACAGCGCAGCAGCCAACCGGGTTCGTGTTCGGGTGCGATTCAGAAGGGCGGCGAGGCCAGAGCCTTAGGGCAGTAGAAAGGCAGCCTCCTTGTGACGTCAAATCAGCGGACTCTCGCCCCGGCTTCAGGCCGGTTCCGGTTCCCCGGCTTTCTGGGCGCGAGAGTACGTGAGCGCGGCGGCGTTCTGCGCGTGCTCCGCAGAGAAACGCGAGAAGGTTGGGTCCTGCTCGCGAAGGAGATGCGTGATTGGCTGAAGTCGTGCTGGGGGGTTCCCCAGCCCTTTCGGCAGGGGTAAAACAATAAGAGGGGGCGGCGGCAAAGGGGGCGGGACGTCCGTGTTCCTTGTCGCTCGCCGCAGCGCCTGGCGCCCGGGAAGAGGTGGCTGTAAGGGAAGCGAGCTCGCGACTCTCTGGCTTCCGAGGCTTCAGGTTTATCGGAGGGAGGGGGTGGCAAGCGAGAAGAAGCCACTGCAGCCGGTCCTCGGCGACTCTCCTGTTGACCTCCGCGCGACGTACCCGCCGCCGCTGTTGGTTGGAGGTGTGTACGGGGGCCGGGAAGGGAGGTTGGTGTGGTGGTCGGAAGGGGACATTCCCTTTGCTGGCCGCGGCTCGAGGCAACCGTCCTGTGCGTGAGCCCCAGTGTCGGAGGTGTCGGGGCAGAGAGAGACCTTGTTCTTGCAGGCTGCCTACGCTGCCGTGTGTGCGTGGAAGAAGCCGAGCCTTTCCTCGCAGGTGAGGGATAGGAGGCCGCGTGAGAAGGGAGGTGACTGGCGTGCGTTGTGTGGACGGAGGGCTCCGCGGGCACAGGTGGGGCCCGGATTTGTTGGAGATGAGGTGGCGAGCTGGGAAAGGGGACGCAGCAGCTCCCAAAGGCGCGCTGGTGGAGGCTCAATTCGGGACGTGGAGGAGTGGGCTTTCTGGAGAGGATGTTTTAGGGTGGGGAGCCCACCAGCCTTGTCTTCGAGTCGTTTGCGTCTCTTATTCCCGGTTTCAGGGGAGCGGGGAGGCCGTCGCCGCCCCGCCCGTGGGGGAGGGGAAAAGAGGCTGTGTCGGCGGAGGCAGAAGCGACGCAGATGCGAAAGTAGCGGCCTGCGGGCACCATTTCTGTGCACCGAAACAGAATCCGGGTTTGAAAGCAGCCGCCGCTTTGCTTACCCAGTATCTAGTGTTCCGCGGTCTTTGACTCTCCCCTCACCCCGCACCTTGGGTTTATCCCCAACGTGTTCAGAAACCCGGTTTATATATATATGTAACGTGCACCTTTTTCCTACTCTTTTTATGCAGACAATCCTTTATTGATCCAGGAGTAGAAAAGGTGTTTGAGTGCTTTGAGGAATGGGTTTCTTCCTCTTCCCCCACTTTTGGGCGGGGGGCGGGAAGGATAGTCTAGGAGAGAAACATAAGCTTCCCTATATTGTGTTGATTTTTGTTAGTTGAATTTGATTGAATTTTATCTGCGTCTTTAAAAGCGGATTTCTTAAGATGGCTCTGTGCCGATTTGGAGCGAATATAGATTTGCATCTACAGTTTTCCGCATAGATCAATTCCTCCCCCCC